AGTTTCCTCTCATCCACTTCCTGTCATGGCCAGGCAACTGGGAAAGACAGTGCATCGTCTGGGTTTGATTAAAATAGACATAGAGATGCTGTCATCTGCACACTGATGGGACCACAGTTGTGTATGTTTTGTACTCCAGGAAACATTTTCTTGAGCGGGGTCCTAATTAATTCTCTTTTGAAGGAAAACTGATATTAACTATCTCAACCAGCATCAGATTCGGTACCTCCCTGCTTCATTTTACTAGCCACGAGAGGCGTGGTTCCAGCTTGCAAGAAGATGCCTGCTACAACACTATGTCCAGAACTCCTCTGACTCCACCTCAGCCAAGGAAGATGTGGTCTTGGGAGCAGTGCAGAGCCACCGTGACTCTTCACAAAGGCCCTCGCCCTGCACAGATTCACCAAGATCCTTGAGCTCTCCTTGTGCATTCTAAATCGCCTGCAGGTTTTTGGAGGAGACAGTTTTTCACCCTGTGCTTTAGAGTGGGTCCTCCAGGAAGTGTAGAGATGCCACAATTCCTTGGATGCTCTTCATGCAGTCTTGGAGTTTCTTGTGACAAACTTTCTGCTGGGAGCAGAAACAAAGAAGCCCAGGAAAGGGCAGTCCTAGGCTGCAGCCAGAGAATAATAGGAAGTTTCATTACTTGACTTCTGTACATAGTTTCCAGTCTTAATAAAGGGTTTATTTTTAAACTGATCAGCTGGTCAGAAAGATACCACACAAGCCACAGAGTGATCAATGAGTTCCCTGACTCTAAAATAGATTTTCCTTTTGCAGGCCACGATATGGACCTATAATCAGGAAATGTCTCCCACACCACCCAATTGAGGATGGGTGGAAATATCAGAGAATCCCACTGGACTTCAACTCTGCACTGTGAACCCTGGGAACTTCCCAACTCCAACTTGAATGCATCTTCAACTGAGTTTTTTGGAAGGAAAAAATGCTCTCTGTGTGTGATTAATAATCCATACTTCATTTGCTTTTTAAAGACTACATTCTTCAGTTGCAGACTGAAAACTAGCACTGAAATATGGCCCAGGCACTTACCAGCTTCAGGACCTGCAGCTGTGAGGACTAGTGTAAATCTGGCCATTGCCTGTGTCCTCTGAAACCAGGTGAAAACAAAATAAAAAAACAACAAAAAATCCTCGGTAAATCTGACTCTGGATCCATTTCAAATTACAGCATAGGTGCACTTTCCTTTCACTTTTAAAGCAAAATAATCTTTTTTTTTAATTTAGCAAAATTATAATATTTGTTGAAATTGATAAAATAATGGCTCTGCACTGAGGACTAATTGTTGGCAAAGTTGTGCGTTAAAAGGGAGTATAGATGGGGTGGTACCAACATTCTCTCCCTCTGTGGAGTGGGAGACTCCAATATTCCCTTCATTTGTTCGCCACTGGTGGCTTCCTTCTGCTCTGTTGACAGCTTAAGCAATTACTCGCTGCTTTTTTCTCGGCAGCAGGCTCCTTTCTATGCTTTTTACAAAACCCAATTAAAAGAGAATGAACAACCCCCGAAGAATCCCTTTGGATCCCAAGCTGTCATTTTGAGGGGCTCCTCTGACTCAGAAACCCCACAAGCGATTGAACTTACCCTGGTGGCCCCCATGTTCAGGCTGAGAGCTACTATGGCAAGGTTCAGCCTACAAAAAATGTCTTGTCTTTACAAACCCTGGCAAATGGAGTGTTTCCACAGAGACAGCCTCTGGGATTATAAAGGTGCCACTGTAACAGGAGGATGCTCTTACTAGAGAATAGAAATTGTTACTGAGAAGTGGGAGATTTTCATAGAATCATAGACTATCAGGGTTGGAAGGGACCTCAGGAGATCATCTAGTCCAACACCCTGCTCCAAGCAGGACCAATCCCCAATTTTTGCCCCAGATCCCTAAATGGCCCCCTCAAGGATTGAACTCACAACCCTGGGTTTAGCAGCAGGCCAATGCCGAAACCACTGAGCTATCCCTCCCCCATCCTTTTGGTTAAGGATGAGCCTGAATTATTCTCCTGCACCTGAAAGAGACCAGCGCACCAATTCACCCCGGCCTAATCCCACTGAAATCAGCAGCTTTACACCAGGGATGGAGCCGCCCTCGGGCTGCAGGGAAATGGAGCACTTTGCTCTTCAAAAGTCCCCGAGAAAGGCTAGAGCTATAGAAAGGGGCTTTCCTCAAAACAGGGCAAGGCGGCTAGCCCCGTTCCAATTCACGCCCACTCAGACACCCCATTGCAAACGGGCAGGTGTAGGGGAAATTGTTCCCTTTGGGGTAATGTAAAGGAAAGCCCCCCCGGTATTTTATTCCTACTCGCAATGCAGCAGATCCCTTTCAAGAGGAGATGTCTCCGAAGAAGGCGTGTGGGAGAGGGCTGCATTTTACAGCGGGATCAAAACCAGCAAAAAAGTTACACCTCCCAGTCGAGTGTATCCAGTGGGGGAAAGAGTTTCCACTTACTCACCGGTTTTAAGGCTGCCCAAGAATAAGCAGAGACTTCCTCGGTCCTGTAAGGCGCTGGCCATCCAGTGAGAGCTTGTTTTCTGGGGCAGATCGGATTAGGATAACGGTGAACCCAGGGGGGTGAGACTTTGAGTAATACCCAAAGTACGAGCTATGGTAGGAGCAGGCCACCCATTTCCCCAAGAGAACAACAAAACCCCAGCAACTGTTTCTAGGCCCCCTTGATGGGCCCGATCCTGCACCCAGAACAGCGGAAGTTTTCTCGTGGATCGAGCCCAGCCTCTGCTCACCGCTCTGTGTTGAAAGAAGTGACTTGTTCACAGTGTCACAAGCCACTGGGACTTGGTCCGAGAGGGTTTACCTGGGCTGCTACAGGGTCGGGTTTCTCTCTTCTTTAAACAGCTCCCGGATCCCCAGCTCCTGTCCCGAGAGACACCCCCCCCCGCCCCCACAAGCTTCATAATCAAGGATAACAACGTTCGTGGCTGATTTTCACGTTTCTTTTTTAAACTAGAGCTCGGATGCCCTTAAGATCCCCTCTCGCCCAGAGCAGTAATTTCTGGGGAAGCTATTTAGGGTTTTTGTTTGTTTGCTGGTCGCTTTAGCGGATCCTCAAGGAGAAGCAGAAAAGAGGAAACGCTTCGCTTTCTCCTTCGTTTAAACGCACCTGCTTGCTGCTTAAAGCAGGGGGATGTTCACCCCGCTCGCAATATTCCACCCGCGTCTTGGTTTCCGCCGCGGATTCCGAGTCTAACGGGCATACGCGGGACCCCCGCATCTCCTTATCCGCGCCGTATAATACTGGGCTTTGCGCTTCTCCTTCCCATCCCAGCCAGGATAGAGACGGAGCCCGGAACGGAGCGAAACAATACACCGCCCAACGTGACATTTCAGGGGAGCCGCGGGGATTTCAAGGGAGAACCTATTATTTAAGCACAAAATCAGCGCTTGGAGGGGGGAGGGAAATCAGAGGGTACAAAATCTGAAATAAAGATCAGGTCACAGGAAGGGTCTTTTAAAATCTCCGACCCTCCATAAAATGGGTATAAAATATCCCCAAGCGGGGGGGGGGGATAAAATACCCCTCACCCTAGCCGGAGGGGGGGGGGGAAGGAATAGAACACCCCAAGCCAGAGGGTATAAAATATCCCCAAGGGTAGTTATAAAATATCCCCAGCGGGGGGGGGGGAGGAATAAAACACCCCAAACCAGGGGGGTTATAAAATATCCCCTAGCCGAAGGGGAGGTGGGGTAATAAAACATCCCCAAGCCAGGGGGTATAAAATATCCCCAAGGGGGGTTATCAAATATCCCCTACCTGGGGCGGGAATAAAACACCCCAAGCCAGGGGGGTTATAAAATATCCCCTAGCCGGGGGGGGGATAAAACACCCCAAGCCAGAGGGTATAAAATATCCCCAAGGGGGGTTATCAAATATCGCCTACCCGGGGGGGGGGGATAAAACACCCCAAGCCAGGGGGGTTATAAAATATCCCCTAGCCGGGGGGGGGGATAAAACACCCCAAGCCAGAGGGTATAAAATATCCCCAAGGGGGGTTATCAAATATCCCCTAACCGCGGGGCGGGAATAAAACACCCCAAGCCAGGGGGGTTATAAAATATCCCCTAGCCGGGGGGGGATAAAACACCCCAAGCCAGCGGGGTTATAAAATATCCCCTAGCCGGGGGAGGGGGATAAAACACCCCAAACCAGGGGGGTTATAAAATATCCCCTAGCCGGGGGGGGGGATAAAACACCCCAAACCAGGGGGGTTATAAAATATCCCCTAGCCGGGGGGGGGGGATAAAACACCCCAAGCCAGAGGGTATAAAATATCCCCAAGGGGGTTATCAAATATCCCCTAGCCGCGGGGGGGGGGGATAAAACACCCCAAGCCAGCGGGGTTATAAAATATCCCCTAGCCGGGGGGGGGGATAAAACACCCCAAGCCAGAGGGTATAAAATATCCCCAAGGGGGGTTATCAAATATCCCCTAGCCGCGGGGGGGGGGGGATAAAACACCCCAAGCCAGGGGGTTATAAAATATCCCCTAGCCGGGGGGGGGGATAAAACACCCCAAGCCAGAGGGTATAAAATATCCCCAAGGGGGGTTATCAAATATCCCCTAGCCGCGGGGGGGGATAAAACACCCCAAGCCAGCGGGGTTATAAAATATCCCCTAGCCGGGGGGGAGGATAAAACACCCCAAGCCGGGGGGGGGGGTGGATAAAACATCCCCGGGCCACATGCCCTTGGCTGTCCCGCGGCTGCGCCGAGGCCGGGGCGGGAGGCAGGACAGCTGGGTTTGTGCCGGCTGCGCGGCGCGGCAAGAGTTAAAAGTTACCTTTCCTGCCTCCTGCCCGCAGCCCCGATGGGGCCGGATGATGTAACCCCCTCCTCACCATGTGACACTTTAATTAATAACCGCCCTGGCCGCACAACAACAGCACAGCGCACGTTCCCGCCACGCCGGCCGCTCCCGGGGTCTGGGCTGGACCGGCCGGGCGCAGCGCAGCGCAGCGCCGCGCCGCCATGTGCCCCTGCGCGCTGCACGGGGGGCCCCCCGCCGCCTGCCGCTGCAGCTCCGCCCGGCGCGGGGAGCGCGGCTCCGGGGCGCAGCTGGTCGCGGCCCGCCTGAAGCGGGTCGGGGATGAGCTGCAGGAGCGGACTGCGGGGCGCAGGGCGAGCAGCAGGCGGGCCGCGGCCGGGAGGAGCCTGGCCACCTACCTGGGTCTGCTCTGCGCCGCCACGCAGGTGGCCGCGCTGGTCTGGCTGATCCGCAAGAGGAGCTGGTAGGGACAAGGGCTCGGGCAGGAGCGGAGAGCAACCGGGACGCGCAACAGGTAGGGTCCCAGCCCGCGCGCAGCCAGCCACCCGGGCGGGGGGGCGCTTTGCAAAATAACCGGGGCCGGTAACAGATAGTGGGAGGGGGGCTTGGTGTGAAATGTCCAGAGACAAAGGCTGAAGTCTGCAGCCGCTGCCGCCGGCTTCTCCTTCCCAGTCCCCGGTCTGCGGCGCAGCGCAGGCTGGACGCGGGGAGTCTAGTCCGGGAGAGACCCGCGCCGCTCGCCTGGCTTGGGGGTGCTGATGCCAGGGCGCTTGACAGCGCAGGGGAGCCAAGAGACCAACGCACTCGCCGCGGAGCTCCAAGCGCCTTAGCCCCATTGTACAGAAGGAGGAGAGTGAGGCACAGATGGGGCGAGAGGCTCGGCCCCAAACCACCCCGTGCCTCGGGGCAGAATCCGGTTGGAAACCTGAGCCCGCCCGGTCTATCAGTCTGGGAGCCGGGTGGGGGGGCTGGGAATGAGTCCCGGGCGCGCCGCAATCCGGAGCGGAGTGTTTGATGAAGCTGATGTCAGGGGCTCTCTGTCAGCGCTTGGCACGGCAGCAAAACTCACCGTCTGCCTGATCGGCAGCCAGCAACGGGATCCAGCAGATTTGGTCAAGTGCACGTTCTGCGCGGTTAATTACAGCTGGTAGACACGAGCTGGACTGCGGGGGTGGGCATGGATTGGGGTACCCAGGCCTTTGCAGCCGGGTAGGGATCCAGCTGCTCCTCTGCCACTCTCCAGCATGGTCTGTGTTGTCCCACGGGGAGACCCAGGCAGGTGCGTGTCATCAGTTATTGATCAGTTCTCTTGCAGGATAGTGGAGGGGGCGGGAGGTTGGCTTGTAATGTAGCAAACCTTGTACTGAGCAAATCACCCGAAAGGTCTGTTACGCGCAGATCCAGGACGGCAAGTCCCCATCTCCCCCTGTACAAACATGGACCCACATACGCTCTCCTCTTCCAAAGGCTTTAACTCTTCGCCTTGGAAAGTTCCCAGGGGCAACCTGCGATTCGGTGAGGCCTCTTTGGGGATCCAGCTTCCCACCAGCACCTGGCTGCGGGGACCTTGTTTTTAGGAGACCCCCTGGCACTCCCAGCTTGTTGCTGTTTTTATTAGTCCGAAAGTTTCTCTTCCCTTTTGTAAACCCTTGGCTGTCTAGGGCTTGAAAGCTTCCACCCTCCCCCCGGGAAATGCAGCGGGAGTTGTTGTATGTTAGCTGTAAACTCCAGGGCAGGTTAAAAACGCAGGTACAGACGCCTGGAAGCAAAGGGGAGCTCACTCTGAAGTGGGCGCGGGGGCGCGTTAGGCGGACGGGCCGGGCCGCTCATTGACCCTGCTCCGCCAAACGGAAGGTGTTTGCCACGGTGGTTTTTCACAGTTTGCTCCAGTCTTTGCAACAGCCCAGAAAGGGGGTGATGAGTGTGGCAGAGCCCGTTCAAGGGAATCAGGGACCGAGGGGGCTCCAGGGTCGTTTCCATGCGCGCCACACACGCGCAACGCCGTCGGGTGGCCCCGGCTCCTCTGAAGTCCCCTGAAGATGGGGAGTATAAGCAAGCCCCGACTCCCGTCACAGCGACAAAACGGCAGCGAGCAGGAGGCTAGTACCTCGCTGTCTGTGGCCCTTGTGCAAGGGAGGACACTTCACCGGCTTCATCCCGTCTCCCAGGCGGTCCAAGCCCCGAGCTGGAGCTGGGGGTGGGACGCAGCGCAGCCGCCTGCCCAGCCGAGAGTAGGTCTGTGGGCTGAAAGCTGCGGGTTTCGTCCCAGGCCACTGTCAGGATCACGTTACCTGCCAAGCCACAATAGCCTTGTGGGTTTGTTTTCATGGAATGATTTAACTCAGTGGTTCTCAAACTTTTTTTGGGTGGACCACTTGAAAATTGCCGAGGGTCTCGGCAGACCACTTAATGATGTTTCCAAATGTTGTTTGTACCGCTGGCTAGCTATTGTAAAGTGCTTTGGATAAAAGCGCTATATACAAAATCCTTAGTAAGAATTTAATGTTTTTTGGTTCTACAAATAAAAGCACACAACTCATATTTTAGTATCAGTAGTCTTACTTTCTAATGCGATGGATGGCTGTGAAGGAGGGGGGTCTCTCCCTCTTTCTCCCCGACTGCAGCAGCCCCCGAGCTGGGGAAAGTCACCTCTTTCTCTGGCTGCCACAGTCCTGCATGTCTCAAATTCCCCCACCCCTCTTCTCACCTCACTGCCCCCTCCCACCTATTCCCCCCAAGGCCACTACCTCACCTTACATGTGCATCTTCTGCAGGGTCCAGGCACCTAATGAGTGGAGCCAAGCAGGCGATGGGTGGGCCTTCATTCTCTCATGTGCAGCCACCCAGGTGCACACCTGAATGGAGGTGGTCTGCAGACCACAGTTTGAGAACGTCTGATTTAACTGAAAGTCACGTGTGCAAGTTCAGGTTCTCTGCTTCCTCGGCCCGTGCAGGGCAGGAGTGGGACTGGGTGGTCTCTAGAACGATTCTTGTCTCTCACACCCACCACCTGGAATCGGGAGCTGGAGTTCGGGTGTAGGATGTCTCCTGATTCCAGAGCCCTGTCCAGTCTGAGTACACAAGAGGTCCCAGCCCCACCAGCGTCAGGGCTGTAAATCCCTGAAAGTTGCTGCCTGGTTTCTTCCCTCCACTCCTTCCTATGCCCACCCGGTGCCAGGCAGGCTGATGCTTTCTTAGGAGAAATATTTTTGGCGTGTTCACTGGGGAAAATGCCTAAAACGGATTCAGTGGAAAGCTGCTTTCTCGGTTGGTCACACTGAAGAGTTCCGTGATAACCATATTCTCTTCCCCCACTCCCTCCAGAATATATGGATTGTCCCTGTAGACTAAGCCAGCTGTGTAGAAAGCTCTCTCAGTCCTAGCACTTCAGTTTATCTATTTCTTGAGCGACTACCAGTGGGATTCACAAAGGTACGTAGGCATCTAAACCCCAGATTTGGGCACCTAAGTCTGGGGTTCAGGATCCTAAGTCCCAGTTTTAGGCTCCACTGTGATTCACAAGCTCCAGCCCCACCAGCTCCAGCCCCACCCTAAACTCACTCTGCTCCTAATTTATTTATTTATTTTGCCATAAAAGTTCCCTAGGCACCTAGTTTCTGCCACTGAGCAAGCACACGGCTGCCTCCCTATAGGCATCTGAATGCTTATCTCCGGCCTAAGCCCTACAGTGATTCACCAACTGGGGGAAGACAGGAGTTCAGCTACCCATCTCACACGTGGGCCTGATCAGGTAGGCATGCTGAGTGGCTGGCTACCAGATTGGGTCTCATTCCCAACTTGGCTGGAGGAGGAGGCTGGAGTGGTGGTGCCCCCCCCTTACAACTTCTAGCCCCGTGGCTAGAGCTCTCTCCTGAGAGGTGGGAGACCCCTGTTCAAATCCTTTCTCCCTCTGGCAGAGGGGGGAATTGAACCAGTGTGTCCCGCATCCCAAGTGAGTGCTCTAACCACTGGGCTGAAAGTTATAAAGTGAGCACGACCGCAACCACTGCTTCCTCCTCCTGTGGCTGGTTTGTTGTGTGTGGAGTTAGGCACCTGCCTAGCACATTCTCCCAAGAAACACCACAGGCTTCTAATCCACGGGACTCCAGGAGAGGGTTCCCAGTTCCTGAATTGCTAGCAGAGATAGGTGCCTCCCTTCAGCCCAGACTTAGGCACCTATCTCATTGAGAGGAGGGGCCTTAGAACATCCCAGGATGTTGGCATCTCCCACTGGTTAGCTTAAGTGGCTCCCTGCCTAGTAGGCCAGCTTTTGTAGATTGCATTCTTAGGCACCTCTCTCCCCCCATTCATTGCATAGGGAGCCTAGGTGCCTCACTCAGACTTTGTGAATCCTAGCCTGGTTCCTGGGATTTTCTAGGCACCTAAAAGTCAGTGTCACAACGCCTGCGTCCCTGTGGGAATCTAGCCCTACAACTTCATCAGTCTTGTCTTGATTTTTGTAATTCCTATGTTCATCGATATATGTTATTTCTTTATTAAATAAACAACTAATTATTTTTTAAAAATACTAATACCACATTGGTGATCTCCCCCCCGCCCGATCAAACAAAAGAAACCAGTTTCTCTTCCTCCCAGTCCCTCTGCTAAACTGCTGGTTTCTTAACCCCTGATTTGTACATTGTGTGAGTTTGCACTACCTAAATTCTGGATGGTTCTGCTAAAATTATCAGCAGTGAAACAGTCAATAACTTTGCCATTTAAATCCACATAATTATTCTTCAGAGTTAACTTCCTATTGAGATGACTGGAACAATTCTCACTCAGAGCTAATAGTATTAGAATTGTTATTTATATAGCACCATAGATACGATAGATGTTTTACAATTCCAGTAAAGAGGAAATTTTACTTCTTGCCCATCGGAGTTTAAAACCTAAGGCCTTGTTTCAGGACAACAGTTAAGCAAATATTTAACTCTATCCATATTCAGTTCCATTGACCTCAAGTTACTTGCATGTGATTAAATGCTTTCCTAAACAATGCCTTGCCTTAGTGACAAAACAGGATGAGATGACAACACAGAGAAGGACAGCAGAAGGGAAGTCCAAAGAAGAAGAAAATATGATTGTCCTTTCCCTCCTTTCTCCTAATCCCCTTGTTTGTTTGTGACCCTCAGTTATGTCAAACCAAGACTGATTTTTGAGGCAGGAATCATATCTTTACTTGTTTGCAAGGTGCTTGGCACATTTTTAGGTGTCTGAAAAATAATAAATAAAAACGTGATTACTTGGGACACTTCTCTATTCATTTAGTGTTTTAAAGTAAGGTTTTAGATAGATAGATGTGTGTTTACACTGTGTGTGTGTTTGTGTCATATTATTATCGATTACGTGAGTGATATACAGCTATTCTGTCTGTCTGCAGATTCAGTCAGGTCATTCAGAAAGTTTTCTTGGCAAACAGGACGACAAAATGTTTTTTTAACTGAAACTTTAAATTCTACACAATGGCAGTGTGTCCCTCAGAGAGGTGCTGGGATGGTGTGTGACTGGACG